TGAGGAGAGAATAAGACCTTTATTAGATGTTGTGCAAGGTTCCAGCTGCACTGTTCCTATTGTAACTGGACAAACTCGTTTTCTGACATATTGTCTTCTTTGATAGCCATACTTCTCATTTTGTGCTTGCATCATTTCTTTGGACAATGTTGAGCAATGTGTTTTGGTTCTCCACAATATAAACATAATCCTTCTTAACGACGACGAGTCTTTTCTTGTTCAATAAGAGATTTGAAATGTATTGCATCGATTTGTATATCTTTTACTTTTGAAGATATGTATTAAGAAGACGTAGGTGTTGCCATTGAATTGTAATAATGTTGAGGCCTACTTATATGACTCTCAAATCGAAATTCAAAAAGTCGATTATCACATTTTACAGCAAAATCAATTGCTAGATTCAATGTTTGAGGATCGGATAAATTGAGCATCAATTTTTTTACCTCATATTGTAGTCCATAAAAGAATTAGCTATTGAATACAGCATCATCCTACTTGGTATCAATCGCAAGTTGTCAAAATTGTGAAGCATATGTTATTACTGATTGATTTTTTTGTCACAAGATATAGATCTTATTTGTTGCAATATGAACTTTATCATGTTTTCCATACATAGATCAAAATTCTACCAAGAAAGCTTCTAAATTATCCAATATTAGATCTTGTCGTTAAAGAAAAGATAAAAACCATGATAATAGAGAATCGAAAAGTAGTGTTCGTATAAACCTGACTTGTGATCTTGGAATTGGATAGCTTTGGGATTGAAGTTTGATTATCAAGTGTACTTGATTGATAAAATCCTCGAAAATTTGATCTTGTACCATCAAATTTCTCGGGTAAGGCAATTTTTGGTTCTCTAGCATTTGAATGGTGTTCTACCATGGGAGAAGGGCCATCATTTGATGTAGGTGTTGAGGCAGCTTTGACCAACTCTACATCTCCACTTTCTATTATTCTTATTTCTCCTTCTGTTGGTGAATTAAGTTGATGCATCACAAGCATTAATTGCCTCAGTTGTTCTTGCATTTGAATCATTGCACTCTTCAATTTGACAAGCTCTACCATGGTAACACCTAAAAAAAATATATATCTAATATTGTTCAAAATAAGTAAGAGAATGGACTTGAGAACAAAAAAAATACTAAAAATAATATCAGTTTAAAAGAGGGTAATCCGCAACTCTTAATACGCTTATGTCTTATCAAGAAAAAGGAGTAATCTATTCTTAATCAAGGAAAGACAAAGCTTTGATATTGTAAGTGTATTCTTATCAATCTATCAAGGACAAGAACTCAATGAAAAAGTAATTCAGACAAGTGAGCCTTCATTCAAAAAAAGGTAACAAAATATAAATAAACAAGTATGTATATTGAAAGAGAAATTGGAATGGCTATTGCCAAAGACTAGAAAACATGAAGACTCTTGAAACTAGACTGGAAACAAAAAAGGACTTAACAAGAGTGAAAAAGGCTTCACTCTTGTCTCTATATATACTATCTAACTAGGGGCTACAAGGTGACATTCTATAGGACCTCCAATATGTGTTGATTTGTAGGAGACATGCCTTGACTTACAAGGCAAGTTTTTCTACGTGTCGGCCACATTGTTAGCTTCATCTTCAAGCTAACAACATGTGTGGCACATGGCCAACTTGTTGACCGCGTTTCTAATCCAAAAAGTCAATTAAAGACACCTATAAAGTCAAAGCAAGTTTATCTATGAAGCTTCTAGGAAGATTTCATACCAAATACTATAGAATTAACTTATTTTTATCTACTTTTAACTACTTCTTCCTATTTATATATGTAATTACTGGCTTACATGAGTATGTTCATAACAAAACCAACACAAAACCTCACCCATTGCCAAGAAACGATTCAAAGATACTATTGGAAGCAAAACAAGGATGTTCTATATTAGTGGAGGGGGATTTAGTATAATAAAATATAGATAAGATAATTGTATAGATAGTTAGAACCATGGAAGTTTTTAAAATTAAAATTAGATTAGTGGACCGGGTAGGATCCACCGTAGAACATTCTAAAACGAATTTAGGGTGGTTATATAGGTGAAGCCCACCATGAAACATTCTTAAAAAGGCTTGGGATGATTTTCTAGGTAGAGCCCACCATAGAACTTTTAAAAAAAAGAATTTAAGACAGTTATCTAGGTGGAGTCCACCTCCTATGAACATTCTAGAAAGTCTAGGTAGTAGGACAAGGTATAAATAAGATAGGCTAGGGCCTTTAAGGGCACTTGGATAGATATGACTTTGGATTCTTTCTCTTATTAAAATTTGGTTTTGCATCTTTTTGTTCAGATCTCTTCTGTTTTGTTTTTGTTTGCTCAGTTTTGCCATTCATGTCTTATTCTGTCTAGTTTCGTTCAATTTTGTTCTAGTCTATTTTGTCCAATTTTGTGATGAGGCTTTATGTTGCTGTGGATTAGAAGGATCTTGAGTTTTTGAAATAGACTAATCCTATTTCAACCCTTGTTTCAAAATTTGTTATTAGCTCTATTTTTAGGTTTTATTAACTTATGAAATAACTTGAACTCTCCTTGTAGAATTTAATATTTGGAAGAAGACATAATATAAATAATTTTTATATTACTTAAATAAATAGAAATAAATTAAATTAAATAGAAGTAGAAATGTGTTGAAAAGCTAATATACTTTATAAGAAGCTTTAACAAAAAAAATTGGATATAGATTAGACATTTAGATTTTTATAGAAATATCATATAGCTATTCAAACTTCTTCCATGTGTTTCTTAATTTTATAGAGTTGCATTAGAAGTAATTTATAGCTTAATACTTAAGCCACAAATTTTACAATTCCTATGAAGCTTTTGCAAGACCTTCTTTATATTTGATATGTATATATGAGAAAATTATGGCTATTCTTATCCTTGCAAATATTTGTCTTGTATTCTAGTCTTAATTTTATAATCATTTAATAATATCTAAATTCTTTTAAATCTAGTAAATAATATACTTCTATATATTAATTTATATAATTTATAAATTAATTGGTCAAAGAAATAAATTCTTTCAAAGAAGATATCAAATAAATAAGAAAATAAAAGTGGTACATTTTATATTTGTAGAAATCAGAACATTTTACAAAAAGTAATAAAATCACTATTAAATTATATACACAAATTCAAGGGCTTTTTTTTTTTTTTTTTTACATTTATCAATAAAATCTAATAAATGAGCTTTATGTCTTAATCCACATTGTAATGTTTAATAAAACTAGATATTCTAAGAAAATCATACTACATACATATAAAATACACAAAATTAAGATGAAATTGAGAATTTCACAATGCAAAACTCAAAACATGAAAGGTAAAAAAACACTCAATCAAAACCACTTCTTATTCAAGGTTGTAACATACTACCAATGTCTAGTGTCACCCTTACAAATCCACATCTCCCATGCATTCTTATTGAACAACTCTTGGTATCACAAGATTTAATACACTACACTGACAAGCTCACTTCTTTTGCTAGAAAGTGTCATGTGATGTCCAATGATGTCTGTATTGTCTGTATTGTTATTGCTGACAGCACCACTTGGAAAGCTCCCTCTACTTGTTCAAAACTGCTGCAAGTTTATTCATATTTTGTGAACGTTTTGTGAACCCTTGAGTTAGCAGGAAAGAAAGCTCTTGCATTCAACTGTGCATTATTCAGTGTTGTTCTAAAGTACAGGTGGTGCCACAGGTCCAACTGAATTAGTGCATTGCAAAACTTACCTTTGACAGCAAAGAATATAATTTAGAAAGTGCAGTGGAAAGATTCTTGATGCCACCGGGTGCAGTGAACAACGTTGCTGAGATCAGTTGATCACTTAAGATTCATCACTGTTAAATACTATCCCACACATCAGAATTTGTGACCAACATTGCTTGCCAAAAGGTTTGTATATACACCACATCAAACGTCCACCCTGCCGGGATGCAATTCTGCGGGGGTAACAATGTTCTGCAACATACAGCCATTGCGGAAATAACTAGACTGTGCTCCAGGTTTCCATTAGTTATATGCACACATGGTCATTGTGCCTTGAGGATTTCAGATGTATCACAGAAAATAGAAACCTGAAATGTTGACTGCCTTAGCAGTACCAAGTATCAGTTGACAATTCCTTGGACGCCCAATGCAGGGCAGATGCAGGGTTTCAAATCATGTTCCATACGATACTGTTCCAGGCGAGGACTTTAAATGATAATCCAGTATTTCGAAGACTCCAATAATTGTCTGACTACAGGAAAACTTTGAAGTCTCAAAGTTAAATCCATTTCAGAAATCCTATTCATTCTGGTCTCGGAATGAGCTCTCAGGAACACAGTCCACAACGGCACATGGCTGAAGAGGTACAACGGATTATACAGAAAGTACTTTATATTACCCTCAGAAATGTGACTTTACAACACAGCTGCACTCATGAGAAGCAGCTTCAATGATGCGGTAACGACCACAATCGATACACGCGATATCAGTCCGGTAAAACTGTAAATTGTGTCCTTTCGAATTAGCATCAAACCGCACACAACTCACAGAAAATCAATTTGTCCGAACAATTCCTTCAAAGAAAAAAAGAGAAAACACTCACAGCCGGTTCAACCATACCTGCAGCATTCACCACTCCGGTGGACTGTTCTATGAAAGAATTTAAATACTTCCCAACCAGACTGCACCACCAACTTTCTCTGATCACCACACTTCTCTACCACCGGCTAACAGATACACCACGCATAGTGCCTGCCCACATCCAACGCCCTTCCAACCCATTTCCAAACACCCTTCACATTCAACAAAGAAAAAGTCCCATCACCGACACATCGCGAACGAAACAGATACACACTACTCACCCTCCCGTTCCCCGACATCATCCTATCAGCACTCACTTGTCACCACACATCTCATTCCATGCGGACGCCATACATCTCACTTCACTTCCACACATACATCCCACAAACATCGTCTTCCATGTCCGCAACCCCACAACACATTCACCTCAACCACATATAACATTAGCTTTTCTGCTTCCAATCGAGTCGCTTCGAACTCCCTCCTTCCTTCCATTCTTTCTTTCTTCCTTTCATTCTTTCTTTTTATAAAATTTCTCCCATTTCCTTCCTTTCGAAGACCAAGGATCCCTACTTCCTACCCTCTCCACCAATGCTTCCTACCCTACCCTACCCTACCCTACCCTCGCCTCTCTTCACAGCCTACCATTGTACAATGGCCGCAACCCTCCGCACCTCCCTCCGGTGCCGAGCTCGTCCAGCCCCTTAATCTACCTCTCTCCCTGCTACGAGAGAACCCGCAGTGGAGGGGGAACCACCAAAATCATCCCCCTGCCCAACGCATACCCCTTCCAAAACCTCCTGTGCCCATACCAACACATTTTACAACCCCCCGCCGCGGCCTAGTCCACGTCGATCTCCCCGTCCTCCACATCCACCACTTCGTCCTCTTCCCCTCCCTCCTCCCTCGCTTCCCCGCACTCCACCTCCATCTCGTCCTCCCCGTCCACGTCCGCATCCTCATCTTCCTCCTCATCGTCGTTCCTCATGAACAGCCCAAGCTGCTCCAGTGGATTACTCCCACCCTGCAGCGCTATCGTCGACGACCCATCCGGCGACCCCTCCTCCCCGTTCCCCGCATCGTGCACCGACCCCAGCATCGCCTCCAGCGGACCCGACCGAAGTCTCTCCAGGTCCTTCAGAATCCCGCTGTTCTCGTCGATCTCCACCGTCCTCTCCATCTGCGAACCCCCAACCCACATCCCACCGCATCCGTCAACACATCTCCCACCTCACATGCACCCAACACACCCACATCACCACTCAATACACTCACACCCCTCAGCACCCCCCCCCCCCGACTCGCATGCCCACCTGCTGCAGCTCGCGTCGGGCCTCCTCTCGTTCCACCTCCCGCTTCTGCTTCTCCAGCAAAGCCGCCTCTGCTTCTGCCTTCCGTTTCGTGATCTCGGCCGCCTTCGCTTCGGCATGTAACCTTGCTTTCTCTGCACCACACACGTTCCCACGTTCAGCTACCACCCACCACCACTCAACTCACTCACCACCTACCACATCAACTAACAGCTCAACGTTCAAACTCATGGCCCCACTGCTCACCTTCCCTCTGCCTTCTCTCCATCTCCTCCCGGTCTCTCTTCAACTTCTCCGGGTCTACTTTGTCGTTCTGTTTCACCGCGCGATCACCCACCCAAACACCCACACCCACACACAATCAACAACCCACACACCAACACCGTCGCAACCACCGCACACCATACCATCCAATCCACATCTTCCGCCTCGTCTCATACAACCACACGCAACGACATATCATCATCAGTTCCAAATCCAAAACGTCCCTCATCCGCACTCCATCCCCACGTCGCCCACCACCGTGCCTCCCCCGAAACTCGCAACTACCATCTCCTACCACCCACGGCCACAGGCGCCGTCTCCACACCATCCACAAATCCCAAGACTCTCTACCTTGCTGTCCGGTAACGCCTTCCCCTGCGACTTCACTATCAGGTCCGCAAAACGCCCCTTCAGCAGCGCAGCCCGCAACTGTTTCTCCGGTGAAACTTGTCTCGCCGGAGGACTCTTCTCCGGAACCACCGCCCTCTCAGACACCGTCTCCCCGTGTACCACTAACACATCCTCTGCATTCGCACCCACAACACATCAGATACACCGAAAACGATCCCACACATCCACAACTCACTCATCCCACGAAACCACCCCGCACACGTCTACACATCCATCACCACACTGACAATTCTACAATGCACCCTCCCACACATGCCATCACACAACACCACTCACGTCCCCACAACCCTACCCAAACCTAACCGGTGCGCAACCAATCCAACCCAGACACCCACTCACTTTTGGTCGCCTCCGCCTCTGCACAACGGCTGTCTTTCTGCTCGCTTGCGGGCTCTCTACCCACCGGGTCCTGCATCGCTTGCGGTGGAAAATCCGCAATCGACTGGCATGTTTCAGCCTCCACCTCCCAGAGTAAGTTCAATGTAGGACACACTCGCAAGCCCTCCTGACTTCAACTAAAGCCATCTAGAGAACCAATATCTTCACACACCAGGCACGCAGCCTGCTGCAACCACAACCAAAACGCTTCCCAACCAACCAACCCACAACCAACCCCAAGGAAAATATCATGAGCTCCGCCCACCACCCTACCAACGGCAACTGACCAAGCTCATCATCTTCCCCAGTCCAACTGCAGCCGTAACCTCTCTACAACCTCATTCACACCTTATCATGTGATGCTTTGGGTCCGGCACCGCCCGTTTGCCCATCCTCGGCATCAGATTCACTCCCCGATGAGCTTCCCGAATCCGAATCTGCACGCCCCCCCCCAACCACACCCAACCCTCAGATCCTCCACCTTTCTCTCCCCACCTCCCTCTATTCACGCCCCTTCCACTCTCAACACTATCATCCCCCCCCCCACCCTCCGTCCCACATCCTTACCACTGTCCGAGCTTCCCGAGTCGCTGCTGTCACTCCCAGAGCTGCTCGACTCTCTCCCCTTGTCGATCACTACCGGCGCGAACTTCGCTGGCCCCACATCATCGTCGATATCTACATCCTTCTCACCGCCTTCCCCGCCTGTCCAAAACCACCCGCCCCATTGTCACTTCCTCCAACCTCACCATCAACACCCCCCACGCTCCCTACACCCCCGAACCGCACCGCAATCACTCCCACTTCAACCCCACTCCTTACCTGCTCGTCCTCCTCTCCGCACTTCGCCCCCGCCACCTCTCGCCGCCTGA